AGTCCATTACTGAGTGGACCGTGACATGTAGCTAAGGAGGAAAAAAACAACTATGAAAGGACAGAATAACAGCCATGCCCCGTAGAGTTAGAAATCCAGAAGATGTGAAAAAAACTTTTCATAATAATATGACTTTGTCATAATTTCTTTATTAAATTATAATTTTGAATGCTTAAAAAGAGAAATTCCTCCAAAAACCTGTGCTGGAAGTGTAAAATTATAATATATAGCGTAAAGTTATAATACATAGAGGCCTATTAGTGTGATTGTTCTTCAAAAAAAACCAATAAAGCAAAAATGAAGGCTGCCATATGAACAGAAATGGAAGCCTTGTTTCTAACATAACTTCAATATATTCATTTCACAACTTCATTTATTATTCTTTAGCAAGCCCTCACATCACACAAACTATTATATCAGTAGACCAGGTTGTATGCACTCACACATGGTGACAGAAAAGATGTTACAAGTCTGAGCTGTGAGCTGTACAAATCATGCAAGATGCAAGGTAACAGATGGAGTCTTAAGAACAAAGCTTGCGACATTAGCAGAAGGATCAATAGCAATATCACCACGGTTAAGTGATGGTACTAAGCATAATAAAAAAAAAATCTGTAGTTCCCAAAATAACTTAATTCAGGCTTAAAAATCAAATCTTTACGTACCAACAACAAACAACTAGAAAACTACCCATCTTTTTTAAAAAAAAGCCTTGTAACTGAAACAAAGTGTCAGAATAACTTGATATACTACAAATCCACTCTACTGATAATACTGGAATATCTGATACCCTGCAGACTTAAGACTTCGGAACAAACCAAGGAAACATCAGCATTACTCTAACAGAAAAATGGTTAACCAAACACAACAACTACCCAAATTTAGACAATTCTCTCTCCTACCCTGGAAAATCCTACCCGGATTTTAATCCATGAACACAGTTGGAGCAACTGTTGATTCCTGAGCAGTTCTGAGAATGCTGTTGACTATGAAGGCTTCTTTCAAGGTTCCTGATTTGAAAAGCCCCAGTGTGGATACCAATGCATCATCACATATATAGACTACTGCTAGTATCCATTTTATTTATGTATTTAAGTGACATACACACAAATATGAAGCATTCTTCCCTACCCTCTCAAGAAGGAAGTACAATCAACTCCCACAACAGATTTCTAGCATTTGAACATACTTAATTTGTGAAGAGAAGGTGGGACAGAAGGAAAATTAAACAGGTTTGTGTGTGGTTTAGTTTTAAATTATGAGACAGCCTTTCTCTTTAATTGCTTTTCTCCCAGTTGCTCTAATGTGTTTTGAGCAAGTGTAGAAATGAAGTTTGTTTCAATCAACTCTAAATGAACAACAAATTTTAACAGTTTACACCTCCAGACCTTCCAGAACAGACTCTCAAACCAATTAATGAAGCCTAATCTATATATTTGCATTCTTCTCCCTGCCACTGCCCACCCCAACTTGTGAGTGGGGCCATACGGGGTACTATGCAACAAAGTTGTAGGTGGTCTATCACAACAGGACAAGAGGTCTATGACAAACTGATTCCAGATTACATCCTTCTTGTTTTCTACCTTAAAATGACAGTAATTGTTTCTGTCAGACTGCCATGAAATTAAAGCACCCGGTAGAACTGGCAGCACAAAGCACATTTGCCAGGTATACTAGGTAAGCATATTAAGAAGGACGACTTCAAACTATGTATCCTAATCCACCGTCTTTACAAACTGAGCACTTGAAGGTTGTTTATCAAAAGCAGTTGACTGACGGAAGCTAGCGTAAAGAGCATTTGCTCTTGCGAGGCGATTTTTTAGGTCATGGTCTAGAAAGTCACATGTAACCAGTGCACCGCAGTAATAAGCATAACGAAAGTATACAGAAAAAAAGTGTAAAAATTCAAAGTGATTTGCTTGCAACGTCTAAGAAAACAAACCCCCTTAAGTTTAAGCTAAACATCCTTGTTCTTGGTACAGTTTCTTCTTTATCTAGAACAGGTTAGCAAAAACAGAATCTGAAATACTACTTTTAAAGTAACATTCCTATTTATACTATAAGTTGTTGTATCATTTTTATTTCAAATTTTTAATTAATATTCTTAAATTGTACATAATTTCCCACCCTGACATTGGTGCTACTGATACAGTTTTTGCACCATTCCTTTTCTAATTTGTCAACAGATTTTCAAAAGCCTTATGTTACAAAATCCCTCAGTTTAAAAATAAATAAATAAATATCTAAATTTCTCTCTCCAAAAATACTCAAAGGAATAGAGATGCATAACATTTTATCTTATTTTATTTTTAAGGCCAAAGAGAGAACAAGGTCTCATCATACCAAATCATTAGAGAAAAAAAATGGTTTAGTGCATCCAAAACCACCCTAAGCATAGCGAAAGTAGATAAACTACTGTGTAAATGAACTAACAAATGGGAAAAGGAAGCTTTACAGATAAATTTGACATCGGTGAAACAGAGGTAAATGTCAACCCAAATAGTAACACCATCAGTCAATACTCATGATTGCAAAAAATGTTTTCGTTACTGCAAATCACTTTCTAGCTTCTATATATACAAAAAACCAAGTTGTTTTACAGGGAGAGAGACTTGGTCTCTGGACTCCTAATTAAGAGTTGTTTTACTATAGAAAAGTCATTAAAAAAAATAGTGCTAGAGGTTCATGTAGGAACTAATCTCCATTTAAATCCATAGATTTGAGCTTAAGCCAATTTCAAAAGAAGAAGGAAGCAAGAAAATGATTGCTAGCAAGCTGAAATACAGTGGCATAAACCAGTAAATAGTTGTGCTATGAAGGACCCCAAGGACCTGAAACGCTATTTAAGGCCCCGTGGGCTGGATCTCATGTCTGTTCTAGGCAAGACAGCAGCTACCCTGTCTTGTCTAAATCTAGACAGACACACAGATGTATCTTGCAAGGTAAGGAGAGAACATGGAAACAAGTTCACTGAAGAACTACCACAGCTCTTCCACCTGTCCTGCAGGGTTTCCCTAAGTGCAGGGCACAGGCAATGAGCAAGACAACAGAAAAAGAACATTTAAAGGATAGGAACAGTTACAGTTGTCTACTGCTTTTCTTTGGGGACAGGATGGAAAATGAAGCCAAAGGAAAATGAAGGGATGTAGAGACAGAACAGTTTTGTGGTGGACAGTTCAACTATCATTTTCAGGAAATAAGGGAGAGTTTTTACATTGAAGTTAAACATCGTCCAGTGGCTAACAACAGTAGTTGCTTTATTTTCTGAGGTGAGATCAGATGATTCTTGAAGTATTCTAGAAGTCTTATAACAGCTTCTATTAGTCCTTGTTTAGTAATTGAGGAAGTAGACTCAAATCTTCAGCCTTTTTATTTTGTAGGGGGTCAAACTCACAACAAAGAATTTTAGTCAGATACAGGGTTTTTATTTTGGATTTGTTTTCAAATCCTCATATTAGAGAGGGCAAAGATCTATGTCTCTGAATATTTTTCTACATACTTTTCTGGTTTTAATTAAGTTAATTAGATGTATATTGTATTTCAATATCACTACAACTACAAACTAAAATACTTGGGTATTAATAGAGGTTGGTATTTTTTTTCATATTATTTCCAATACCAAAAAAAAAATTACTTCCACTATTTAATCTAGGCACACACTGTGAATGCTTGGGGCTTTCTCTAATTGTCATTTAAATTCAGACAGTCAAATGTGTATTATCTATGTCAACATCTTTGTGGAAGCTTAGCTGTGGAGGAGGAAACCTTTAAAGAAACATCACTTGCACCCCTACTAAAGCATTGTGCAGACGAACTTGTAATTTTTGTTATTTCCTAAAGTTATATGACATCTTCTGAGCAGTACTAGCCAGTCTCAGTATTAAAACCTGTCTAAAACATGAGTTGGGTTGAACAAACTACAGCTACATTAGGATTGTTGCTCTCTACCTGCTTTGAAAGCAGAGGATTTAGACATAGCACAAGTTTCAAAACAATTGCTACTTTTTTTACTATTACTATTAAACAAACTGGCCTTCTAGAGTGTTCATTCACTACACCAGGATCATTGTCATGCTCATTTACAGCCAAGCATACGGAGTTTTTCCCTTTCTAGGTTAAGTCTTCCATGCCAGATGGGCACATGAAGCCCCAGAGATTACCTGCAAAGCTGCACAGAAAACCTGAAATACAGAGGAAAGAATGCTCCCAATAGTTTGTGTTTCAAGGGAACCAATTTACTGAAATGACAAAACTTTCCTATTCACATTTAAGTTTGCATACATCATTGATTGCCTATTCTAGGACATAAGCAATTGGGAAGGAAAATGAAAGCTTTCAGTGAAAATTAAACATCCAGAAACATGAAAAATAAGAGTAACTTGTATAAGAACTTCCAGGATTTTTGCAGTGGTTTCCTACAGATACCTGTAAGAAGGACAGAGAACCATCCAGTGTGAAAAGTGAGAAAGATAGGAAAAAGCCACAATCGGTGTACAGTGGGGCACAACTTCTCTGAACAGGAATCTGCTTGCATGTATGGAGTACACATGATACTCCAACACAGGTGTAATTAAATATTATTCCAGATCTTCAGAGAGAAATTCCAGGATACATTTGAGAACACAGATTTCCACTCCTGATACAACATTTTTTAGAAGCGGTTTGTTTTTCCTTAAGGTGAGCAAAGCACTTAGAAAGCAGCCTGTTGCTTTGGTGTCTGTTTTCAGAAAAAGAAGGTACAAGTCATTTATGGAAGGACCTAGGGAAGCACAGAGGCACCTGGAGTGCCTTCTGCAGGTGTTGTGAAATGAGATTTCCACTCTTCCCCTGACTCCACAGAAGGTTCCTCTTCC